CAGTCACAGTGTCACAGTAGGTGAAGTTGGTAACTCCATGATTCCATCCCTGATTCCAGTCTAGGCGCTTTAGATTGTTAAGGAAGGTAACCCACCCACCATATTGCAGCTTGAGCCATGAGGAATGAGGATAAGGCCTAAGGGACCTTTGTCAGAAGTCCACAGTAAGCCCAATGTAAAATTTTAACCCCAATATCGGATTGACCCAAAATGGATGGTAAGGAGGGCTTTCTCAGTACTAGTCGTTGTAGTATAGTGGTAAGTATTCTGCCAGTCACGCGGCTGACCCGGGTTCGATCCCCGGCAATTTAGAACCTGGAAGTATCATTTGGTGTGGCAGCTGAACAATTCAAAATGCAGTTCTTCTTGAACCTGAAGTATTAAAAAGCAATTTAGAACCTGGAAGTAATCCTACTGGAAGGCCCAATGTACCATATAAATCAGATTCGAACCAAAAAAAACTTGGCAGGACATGTTTGGTAATGTTCATCCAAAGGGCGCAGATTAAAAAATGCTCAAGAGTCAACTGGTGTATCTACAGTTGTTGATTGTCGATCACGCCTGAACCCACCATTACAGTATGAGTACTTGGGCAATGCACTCTTTCATGTAACACCAACCTGTAGGGCTGTGCAATAAACCACCCAAACCGACCGAACCAATCCGAACAAAATATATCAGTTTGGATTTGGTGGATTTGATCGGTAGATAAAAATACCAATCCGATCGGATCGGATCGGTTTTGAATTTTAGGAACCGAAGTAAGTAATAAATACAAGTAATTAGAATCCCAAAGTAATATTTAATACTTCAGTAGCTGATGTTGGATGCCTTACATGAAGCAGATTTCGGATGGGGGAGACCTGTTTACATGTGTCCGGCCAGGTTCAGTAATGCATGAAGCCCTTGCTTATGTTCTACCGTGCCTGTCAAACTATGGCAATATAATCTGTCCATGACCATTTCATTGTGCCGTCCATTTACGTACATTGTTCCTTTCTAGAAATATTTCTATGGTTTCTAGTTTTGTGAAAAGAAATTAAAA